CTGTATATAATAAATATTGCATATATGGCAGTATTTTGCATAATAAATATTTCATTGTGACATAGCATGCATACTAGCATACATGAGTAAGATATGGCTGATTGCAGCTTCAGTCAGTTTTTTTACCAACCTCAGCACCTGACTCACCCTCCAATCTCTCTGTTTTTGGGGCTGTAGTCATTGGCTGTGCTATTACAGGTGCCTAACTAAAAGGCAGTTCAAAATATAAAATAGAATTATCAAAATTCAATTAGTAAATGAGACAGCAAAAATCAAAAGATTGGAAAGATGTGATACTCATTTTGAAAAGGGCTTGATTGATAAATAAATACAGGGCTAATGTTAGTGCGGCCACCTCTTGCTGCTTTAAAGATTGAAGAAAGAAATATCAAAACCTCTGGACTGAATTTGAAATAACTCCAAAACTAGAAAGCTTTTAGAGTGCATCTTTGAAATCAAACTGCGCAATTGATTACAAAATCATTTGTCTTCTGTTGAGGTTAGATTGTAAACTAAAACCATAAAAAAGTCACCTATCATTAAGCAGTGCTAAATTCTAATGAATTATGTCAGATAACTCCTTTTAATTGTGTAACCCACACTGTTTAGTGCTATTTAGTACTATTTGGTTAGTTCTTTTTCTCGCTTTTAGTGTGTGCACATTATAGTACAAACACTAAAACTGTGCAACATAAATACCACTAAATACTGCTAAATATTATGCTAATTCTATTGTTTAAGTAACACTATTTTGTAGTAAATATCGGAAACTGTTGCACACATTTAATGTTTGTACTCTAGTGCACTTATGTACAATTTATTACGAAGCATCAAAGATAAAATGAACGGTGCCAAACTTTTGGTAATTTAAATGTAGATAATTTAAGTAATTTTTTTAAGTAAAAAAATTTTGTATATAAAAATTCATTGTCATAAAAACTTTTCAAGTTCTGTTTTCTGTTAGAGAAATCACAGAACATTTCATATAGTTCAAGCATAGTTAGTATTAAAGCAATTACCAATTGTCGTTGCCTTTCAAAAGAAAAAACAACAATTGCCACATAGATGACATTTGGATTTAAGGCACTGTGGAACAATTGAAGCTAAAGCATTGAAATCATCTGTAATAGTCAGAGAAAATTTGTAACGAACAAAAGAAATAGATGTCAAAATAAATAGATTATTTTATAGCCTTTGTACTGCTGTGTGATGTGTGTTCGTTCCGTGGCACCCCCTCCCCCCCCTCCCCCCTAAAAAAAATCAAAGACGAACCTACTGGGGATACAATAATTGTTTCCCCCAGAACATCGCATTCAGTTCTTTCTTGTACTTCAGCCACACATACACTATAGAGGCTTTTTATTTTATTGGTGACAATGTACTAAAATTGCTACACCTTCAGTTGTGTTAGTTCTAGTATAGCTTTATTCTTGTTGCCTCCAAACATTCCCACAACACCCGGCAACGACTCCACACAAATCCTGTTTCACTGCGGTGCTTCGTCGTGGAACAGCTGGTCAGTCAAACCGTCTTGATTGTCACAACTGCGSTCTTTTATATCAAATTTAGTGTCTTCTATTGTACTGTAAATCGGCTCTAGGATGTGTTGTGCTAAGGAACTTTAAACAAATGAAAGTATTACATTTGTGCCCATCAAAGTCCAGTAATGCAGTACCAATTGAACATCAAAGTGTGGGCTAACACAAATCCAGCAATCTGATTGGCTATGGAACTAAGGTCCGTTCACGATATACCATTCCATTCCATGGTTGCAAGATCGATAAAAATCCATTTTTTTTAATTTTCAAATTTGCTAGGTGCGGTCTCATGACCACCAACTTTTTTCTYGAGCGACTTAGTWTTGYTAATATTCGACCATTTTCTTCCTACTAAAATATTCCCTGTAATAGAGTTGTACGAGCAATACTGCACTTACACTATAGTATTATTGTTCCCCTGTTTTTCTTCTAGTTTTGCGCGCACATAAAACAATGCAACGACTATCAGCACCACTACTACTATAGTTGCTGTTCCCGCTATAATTGTCACCACGGGACCTGTGAAGACTGAAAATAAAAAAATATATAGCAACGAAGTTTTAGGTTTGTGCGAAAAAATTCACACAGTATATATGTTTAAAGAGACCATTACCTTTGAATTTGTCTGCTTCCGTATCAAATTCCCCTGAAAAAGTTAAGAAAATTCATTATGTATGTCCAGGTTTATTTATTATGTTAAACTCTTGTTTACAGTTGAAAAAAAGATATATGTTTCTATAAAATATGAAAAAGATTTGCTTGCGCAGCTCGYGAAAGCTTCAAATGGAATTACTTACCTATATCGACTTGCATAATATTCCGTACTTCGCAGGCACCGCTCTTCAATATCGCCTCATATTTCCCAGCATGCTCTGGATGCACATCTGAGATCTCTAAGAAATTTCTTGTTGTCCCATGAAAGTGGTAATGGTCACTTTTTTTTACTTCGTTGTCGGGAGAATATTCTGTTGCTTTGACAAGCTCTCCATCGTGCGTCCACCATAAGACACCTTCGTTAGATCTGGACACTTTTAGCTTAACTGTACCTCTAAAGGGGACACGGACGTGGCTTTTTACTTGAAGACGCATGAATATGTCTGAAATTATTGAATTTTGAATCATTCGATGGATGATTGGTAATTTGGTTGACTGGTTGGTCGGCTGGGTACGGTGACGKTGCRAAATCCGCATTGATTTGTTCCAAACATATCCTACATTGTTTTGTCCCAAGCTAAATGCATTGCGTAAAAGCTATATGACGTAAAAGCTTCAGGGGTCTAAAAAAAAGTTTGCACTTTTATACGATTACTTGTCTAAAAATCTACCATGCCCCTCGCTCTCAACAACGKTAAAAAAGGACCTTCTATCATACCTTTGACATCAACTGTAAAACCAACATTAACAACACTTTTGTCATCCTGAACACGGGCATGATAAAGGCCTGAATGAGGAGGAAGTACGTCCAAGATAGTCAGCTTCCTCCCTCCTTCACTCTTGACGTAATGCTCGTCCTGATATAACAAATCCGCTCCATGTCTCCACGTGACTGAAACCGTGCCTTCTGATTGGGCAACCTCTATTTCCAAATTGACTGTGTCACCAAGGCATGCCGAGGTTGCGTGGACCTTGGGCATTGCGGCCAGYTTGGCTAAGAATGGACAATAATAAAATTTGATATTATTCACTTAATGATTATCATATCTATATGTTGGAATAAGATAATTTAATCAAAGGCACATCAGTTCTAAAAAAGAAACAGCAAACAACAACAACAACAGCAACAACAACAACAAAAACAAGCAGAATATCGGGGAGAGTGTTATATCAGGTGTAACCGAGTTCAAAAAAAATTGCAATTGAATCAGGGGAAATGTTTGATACAACAAGAGTGATACAAAAACGAAACAAAAACATGGAAAAATATATGTGAAAATATATATAATATCAAAGAGGCAAGATTTTTCTTCAGAATCTTGCCTCTTTGATAGTATATGATATTATATATAACTAGCTCTACACTATATGTAGAGGAATCAGCTACTCCCTCATACGATTATGTGAAAATAGCTAGATCTAGCTTCTTTATTTTTTATTTTTTTATTTTTTTTTTTTGCTGCGATAAAACGATAAATTGTACAACCCAAAAAGATCTCCGCATAGCACTGATGAAAATTAGTTTATATTTGTAGCTGTTTTTTTAACTTACCTTCATTTATCCCAGACTGTAAACTAATAATAATCAATACTATAATGTACGTATTTTTAAGCATATTCAAAATTCCACTGTATTTTTGACGCAACAATCATAATGAGATGATAGAGAAAGGATTGAGTTGTGGGATTCCTGTGCCAGTTTCTACTAAGCWRGGGTAGGGTAAGGTATTTTTTGTCCTGTATGTGTGCCACGAGGCCATTGCAGTGAAGGTTATYCTGTGRAGTTAATTAAGCTGTGTTTATCACGTGAAAATGTCTTCTAAAACGAAAGTTGTCACTGTCACTAACGGATCTGCAGAAGGACCTGTTCCCAAACGAACACGATTGAACAAAGATCCAGTKATTTCWGAGATCTTCCAAAGTTTGGAGTATGGWCCAGCTCCAGAAGCTCCAAGTGGTGTGAATGCTTGGTTAGATAAACATGGACGSTCGTTTGGTCATTTTATYAACGGCAAATGGGTAAAACCCAAAGGAAGAAAGACTTATGAATCCAAAAATCCAGCTACAGGTGAAATATTTGTGTGTTTTATCCACGATTGGTTGTTTTCTTGTACTGAACTTTTGCATTTGCGGTCAGCAGTTTAGTCTCACAAAATTGGGAAATTGTCCATTATTGCAAAGAAGAAAACTCAAATTATTTTAAACAATCAAATATAATAGTTTTGATATGTTATATTTCAAGCTTACACGACATGATTGACGAATTTCGAAAAAAAAAATTAGCAACCAATTTATAATGTTATAGTGAAGGGGGGAGGGGCAGGGGTGGTTCCTATCAAATTCTCTATTTCGTTCTATACCACAAGTACTTTCTTTGAAGTTGTATAACAATTTATATATTCCCATTATTATTTATATATTTATTATTTATTTTTGATATAAAGTTGATTAAAGACATCAGAATAATCGTGAACTATTCTGTTCATATTTTTATTTGTATTTTGATATCCATTCAAGGTGAAGTTCTTGCATCAACAACTCAAGGTGAACAAAAAGAYATTGARCAAGCAGTTGCAGCAGCAAAAGAAGCATTCCAATCATGGAGCAAGACTTCAGGTCATGTGCGTGCACGTCATATCTACAGTATTGCACGCCATGTGCAGAAACATGCAAGGTTGATTGCCGTCCTAGAGAGTATGGACAATGGCAAGCCRATAAGAGAGACTCGTGATTGTGATATCCCTAATGTCGCTCGRCACCTGTAYCATTATGCAGGATGGGCTCAGCTTATGGAGACAGAAATGAGAGGTGAGAGAAAAGATCTTACAAGTTACACTTTTAGTATTAATAAAACTATTATTAAAATTATTATTATTAGAATAATCAGGTTACTATGAAGACTCATTATTGCACAAATATTGTTCTAGGATTTAGAGTCAAACCTTGAGTCAGGGTTTGTGCAACATTTTTACTACAAAATTCCAGGACTTTTCAAGTACTTTTTAAGCATAAAAATGCGATTTTCAAGGAGTATTTTTGAAGATATTTTTAGATGTTTGCGGATGTTTCAAGTGGTGATTTTTTTAAATAGCCACATTTTAATCCAAAAGCTAACAATCAACATGTCAATTTTATCAGATTCAAGGAGTTTTCCAGGAGTTTTAACAGTGATTTTCCCAATTTTCAAGGGCTTTCAAGCGCCCTTGAAAACGAGTTTTCAATTCCAGGACTTTTCAAGGACTTAAAGGAGTAGCATGAAGCCTGTTGATTATTAAAGTTAGCAGCTTTTATTTGTGGTTAAAAAGTGATTATAAAAGGGCCAAAATGATCCTGCAGACTCTGTAAGTTGAAAATATTATTCTTACAGTATTCTCTTCCCATTAGGTTGGAAGCCAATAGGAGTTGTTGGAGGTATTGTACCTTGGAACTTCCCCCTAATGCTTCTCTGCTGGAAGGTCTGCCCAGCCATTGCCATGGGTAATACTGTTGTTCTAAAGCCAGCCACCTACACCCGTCTCTCTGCTCTTCTTTTTGCTGAGATTTGTGCTGAGGCTGGGCTGCCTCCAGGTGTCTTCAATGTTGTRACTGGTAATGGTGCCTTTGGTAGCAGTCTYGCCACCCACCCTGATGTGGACAAAGTTGCATTTACTGGGTCAACAGAGGTAAAGTGTGCCAGTACTTTTTCTGCCTGGAATATTCTATTTTAAAGTTTGTAGCTTTATATTCTTACTCAATGGTAATGAATCATCTTAACTCACTTTTACTGGGTTTTAAACAAAACTGTTTTTTTCCAGGTTGGCAAAGTGCTCCGTCAAGTGACAGCAGGAACAGGAAAGAAACTTTCCCTTGAGCTTGGAGGGAAGTCTCCTTTTGTTGTTTTTGACACTGCTGACCTGGACAGTGCAGTTGAGGGTGTGGTGGATGCAATATGGTTTAATCAGGGACAGGTATACTACTTTTTCAATAAAGTTTTGCATCCTTTCTTACAGGCTTGTGCAGGACCTTTGTGGAGATAGAGAAATGAAAACCCAGTACTTGAATGGCTACTTTTGGTCTTTTTCCCTTTTGTTCTTAATGTCACAGTTAATATCTTTTCAGCAATGAATTAATATTTTGCTCTGCAATGGCACACTTGATAAAAACATTCTTAACAAACTAAAAATTAATATATGCAAGAATTTAGTCTTGAATTTGCTAGTTGTTGTTAGTGATCATATACTGTATTCGGTTCTCGGAATATATTTTGGTATTTTTTGTGCACCAGGTCTGCAGTGCTGGTTCAAGGTTAATTGTGCAAGAAACATGTGCATCTCAAATGATACTCAAACTAAAGGAGCGCATGTCGCACCTTCGTCTTGGAGATTCGCTTGACAAGTGTGTTGACATGGGAACCTTAGTTGACCCACAGCATCTGAAATCAGTAGCAAAGTATGTTGAAGAAGCTCAAGCTGAAGGAGCTGAGGTAATTAATTTATTTTAAGGCGGAATTAGGCGGCACAACTTTTGACAACAACCATCATATGCAATCTGTCTAAGTCATTCTTATAACATGGCTACATCTGTCATAGGGATAGTAAGCAATATTTCAAATCCCTACAACAATTGTAGCTATGTTGGAAGGATGACTTACGCAGGTTGCATGCAATAGTTTTAGGTAAAAGTTGTGCTGTTTAATACGGCTTTTATACTTACTAAATTTAACTTGATTTCAAAAGATCACATTAAAAAAGATATTAAAACAGAGCAAAAAAATTCTTCTCTCAAAATGAAGTGTGTAGTAGTAGTAGTAGTCCAATAAATACAATGAATGTCTATAGCTCTCTTTTCAACTGTGTTCTTCACTAGGTCTATCAAAATTATGCCTACAAGCCTTCCAGTGGATGTTTCTATCCACCAACACTGATTACCAATGTTCAACCTGTCTCAAAGATTGTTATTGAAGAGGTAAGAATAATAAGCTTCTCAGACAAACAGATACAATGTAATTCACATAGTTCTTTACACTTCAAAACTGAGCTTTCACTAATCCTAGAATATTCTCCATAGGTTTTTGGCCCTGTTCTTGCTGTCCTGACCTTCAGAACWCCCAAAGAAGCCATCGCAATWGCAAACAACACTAACTATGGCCTTGGTGCCAGTGTTTGGAGTGAAAATCTGTCTTTATGTCTTGAAGTAGCCATCAGTCTTAAGGCTGGTGCTGTGTGGGTTAATGGACACAATCTCTTTGATGCTGCAGCTGGATTTGGTGGATACAGGGAAAGTGGGTATGGACGTGATGGAGGCAAAGAGGTGAGAGATGATGTAGAATAACATAGTGCAAGTTTGACTCATGTAGCATTCATACTGTAATTCTTTAGGATTTCATTATTGAATTTCACAATAGACTTCAACTTCATTTTTTATTTTAATTGATAACAGACCTTTCCAAAAAGAAAAGAAAGCTAAAAAAATAATGTTATGTTATTTACATATTTGCAATTTCATCCATTTGATTCTAGGATGCCTGTTTTCCTATGACGTTTTAAATTTTGGCTTTTTAAAATTGTTTGCTTTCTTTACAAGGGTTTGTATGAATATGTCTCACCTTCTTGGCAAGACAGACCACATCCTGATGTAAGTGACTTTGATGTCAAGACGTTTGGAGCTATGGTGCCAGCATCAGTTAAAAATCCCAATGAAAATCCTGTGAAAGTTAGTGATGTTGGCAAGAAACCAAGGTATGAGTTGTTGTTTTTTTTCATTTCCTGATGTATTGGTGATTATCTTCATGCACCTTATCTCTGAGTGTTTGATAGTGCATCCGAGTAAAAAGCATGGATATTGATTAATTATATTTTATAAGGATGCTTTCTTTTTTCCCTTTATCATTTTTGGCCTAATTTAAGTACAGTAGGAGTGAGATCGGACTCTCCATTGAAACAACAACTAGAACTGTATTTTTTTGTAATATAGGAATATAAGGTTAATTATTTACTAACTGGACTTCGTATTTCTCAGTATTGATCATACCTACAAGATGTACATTGGAGGAGCCCAGAAAAGACCTGATGGAAACTACTCTAACCCRATAGTTAAYACCTCAGGGGAGGTTATAGCACAGGTTGCTGATGGGAATAGAAAGGACATCAGGGATGCTGTGGAAGCTGCRCATAAAGCTGCTCCAGGGTAAATGAATGAATGAAATATTAGAATGGGTGAAATGCATAAAGATTATTAATGAACAAGTGGCTAATTGATAGGTTGATTGATTATTACTGAATGATGATTGATTGATTGGTTGGTTGGTTGGTTGGTTGATTGGTTGGTTGATTGATTGATTGATTGATTGATTGATTGATTGATTGATTGGTTGATTGATTGATTCTCTTTACAACCTTTCTTGAAATGGAAGTTTTGCTTTGTAAGGTGAAGAAGGTGATCGATAGTTTGTTAATTGATTGATTGATTAGTAATTGATTGATTGATTGATTGGGGATTGATTGATTGATTGATTGATTAATTGATTGATTGATTGATTGATTGATTGATTGGCTGATTGATTGATTCTCCCTACAACCTTTCCTGAAGTGGATATTTCTAATTTGTTGTAGATGGGGTAAGAGAGCTGCACATAATAGAGCACAGATAGTATACTACATGGCTGAAAACCTGGAGATGAGACATAATGAGATAGCACAGCGATTAACAGATATGACAGGATGTTCTCTTGATGAATCCAAAGCCGAGGTGGATGCCACCATTGAGAGATTGTTTCATTATGGAGCATATGCTGATAAATATGGTGGAACAGTACAGGTAATGATTGACTTGATGATGATGATGATCATAATCCAAAAGGAGAGATCCCAAACAATCACATCAGAATCGATAGTGAGAATAATTAAACTCAAAACAAATCAAATAGAAATTAACAGTGCCATAAATCATTTTTCATCCATTTTTTCTTCCATTTTATGAAAATGAGCTGATGAGCTTACTGTAAAATGCTGCTTCTTTTCCAGGAAACACCATTCTATGGGGCCACAGTTAAAATTCATGAGCCTGTTGGAGTAATTGGCATTGCATGTCCAGATGAGTCACCATTACTGGCCTTTGTATCACTGCTTGCTCCAGCTGTTATAAGGGGAAACACTGTCATTGTGGTACCCAGTGAGAAATATCCACTTGTTGC